CCCCCCCCCCATGCAGCCCCCCCGGCCTGGAGCATCGGCCCCCGCGGGGCCCCCCCCCCCCCCCACCGGGCCCCCCCTCCCGCCCGGTCCCGGTCCCGGCGGTCCCCCCCCCCCCCCCGGACAGGGACGGGAGCGGTGGCGGCGGCGAGGAACAAAGGGCTGGGGGGCGGCAGAGCATCCCCCGCAGCAGGCATGAGCCCCGCACCGGGCACGGTGCCCCCCCGAGGCACAACCCCCTCGTGCGCCATCACCAACCCGGGGGGCGCAGCTCCCCCCAAAACCGACCGCGGCCCCCCGCGCACGGCGCCCCCGATCGCGCGGCCGGTACCGGAGCCGGTACCGGAGCCGGTACCTCGTTGAGCAGGAAGGTAGCGCTGGAGTCAGAAAACGACATAGACGGGGCGAGCCGAGCCGAACCGCCCGCGCCCCCCCCCCCCCCCCCCCCCCCCCCCCGGCACCGGCTCCGGTTCCGGCTGCGGCTCGGGCTCCGGCTGGCCCTGCCCGCTCCGCCGCCGCCGCCCCTCCCCGCCCCTCCCCGCCCCCGCCTCCCACCGCCCCCCGGGGGCGCACGGAGCCGCCCCCGCCGCTCATCCCGGGGGGGGAGTGGGTGGGTGTGTGTTGGGGGTCGCCGTTCCCCCTTCCCGGTGCTGGCGGGGGGTTCCGGCCCCTCTCCGGTGGGGACCGCTGCGGGGGGGGCTGCGCTGGCAGCCGGGAGACCCGAGCGGCCGCGGTGAGCTGCACCCGGCCGGGTCACCGGTGCAGCTCCCGGTGGCCCGGGGCGGGGGGAGAGTTTGCTAAGAGAGCTCTGGGTGAGAGGGGAGTCCCGGGGCAGCGGCGGAGGGGCTGTGCAGCCTCCCGCAGCGCGCCGCTCGGGGTTCCGGGGCGGCGGCGGCGGGGTGCCGGTGGGTACCTCCATGCTCCGGTGCAGCGGCTCCGGTCCTGCCCCGAGCCGGCAGCAGCCCCGTCTGCAGGGCGAACCCTGCGGCGGGGCCGGAGCCGCTCCCGCCCCCCCGCCGCGCCCCCCCCCCCCCCCCCCCCCCCCCCCCCCCCCCCCCCGCCCCCGAGGAGGGGGGCACCGACGGGCCCCGGGGGACCGGGCCGGCCCGCCCCGTTACCGCGCAGCGGGACGGGCCCCGGCGGGACCGGCCCGGGACAGCTCACGGCCGGCCCCGGAACAACGGGGCAGCGCTGGGTGGGGGCTTCGGACAGCGGCGGGACAGGCCGCGGACACCTGCACCGGGCACCAGGCGTGGAGAACGGGCCCCGGTACCGGGCACATGGCGGGGCCCGGCCGGGCCCTCTCCGAGGTGCTGAAGGGGCCGCGCCGGGTGCTGAGCCGGGTCGCGGGGTCCCCGGGGGTACCGGGGAGTAGCGGTACAGCAGGTGCTACCCCACGATGGGAACGGGATGCTCCGGCCGCTCTGCGCCTCCTGGGGCCGCCCCGACAGGACCCCCCCGCCCTCCGCGGAGCCTCCCCGGTAACCGCTCACCCGCCGGCGGCCGGGGAGGGGGCGCAGCTCGGGGCCGGAGGAAACCGAAGCACCGGTTGGGGGGCGGCGGGGAGGTTCGTGCCTCTCCCCGGCAGAGCGAGGAGGCGGCCCAGTGCCGGTGGAGGGAGCGGGAGGGGAGCCCCGCGGCCCCTTCTACGGCCCCGCCTGGCCCGTTCCCCTTCCGCTGCCTCAGTTTCCCGGGGCCGCCCCCCGCGCCGCAGTGCCGGTGCCCGCCGCCGGCCCGGCCCTGACGCAGCACTCGCTATTTTTAGCCGTGGGGAGCGGCTGTTGCGATGCTACCGGCGCCCGGTGCCGGCGCCCAGCCCCGGTCCCGGGGGAGCGGCGGGGCGGAGGCGGCCCCCGAGCTCCCTCCAGTGCGGAGGTTGGGGTGGGAGACGCTCGGCCGCTCCCCGCTCCCCACCCCAGCTCCGTGCTTTAATGCGGAGCCGCAGCAGCGGCGGACCCGGGACTGGCGGAGCTGCCCCGCCCCAGTGCCGGTGCCGGTCTCGGTGCCGGTGTAGGTGCCGGTGCCGACCCGCTCACCTGCCTGCGGAGGATGCTGGAGGTGGTGTCGGACGAGGTGCTGCCGTCCGAGCGCTTGAAGCGGCTCTTGCGCTTCGGGAGCCTCCGGGGGCTCTGCGGCGAGAGCAGGCGGTGAGCACCGGGCGGCCCCGGGCGGCTCGGCCCCGCCGCGGAGCTGCTACCGGCGGCCACTGGCTCTGCGGACAGAACCGAACCGGGCCGCGCGGGGCCCGCGACGGCCGGGAGGGCTCCGCTCTGCTCACCTGGAAGGAGCCGGAAGCATCAGGCTGCGCCGGGGCGGACATCCCCGGCGGCACCCACCGGAGCCCCGGGGATCCCGGCGGGGCAGCCCCACACCGGACCGCGGCTCTCCGCGGGGAAGGGCCGCGCCGCCGCCACTGCCGCGCTCCGCATCACACGGGGCCGCCGGGGCGTCCCGGCCGTCCCCGCCCCCGCCTGCCCGCCCCCGCGCCCATCCCCGCGGCGGCCGGTCCGCGCCCCCGCAGCTGGGCAGCCACCGGGAGGCACCGGCAACGGACCCTGCCCACAACCCGCAGCGCTGCGGCGGCCGGCCGCGCGGTCCCGGGGAAGAGGAGCCCCCCGGGGCCGCCGCAGCCCTGCCCACGCGTGTGCGGGGATGCGGGAGCCAGAGCCCCTCCGCCCGCATCCCACCGGGACGGCTCCCGCAGGCGCCATGCCCCTTCCACGGCTCTTTTTGCCACCCCCACGCCAGGGCATCATCCCCCCCCCCCGCGCGGGGTTACGCCCCCAAAGTCTCCCGCGTGGGGCAGGCGGGGCCGTGGGGGGCCGCAGCCCACCCACCCCACTCCCCGTGTCCCCGGCATGCCCACGGTATCGGCCGGTTCCGGTGCTTCAACATCGCCGGACCCGAGGGGCAGAAGGGGACAACGGGCCGGGCATGGAGCCGGAGCCCCACGGAGCCCCAGCGTGGGCCTCCCCCGTCCCCCGCGCGGCGAGACTTCCGCGTGGGGCCGCAGGGACACGGCCCCGCCGGCGGCTCCTAATTAATGATTAATCAGCGCTCCCCGGGGCCCGGCGCCGGGGCGGGGGGGGGTGCGCGGCCCGGCGGCGCCGCTGCGGGGGAGGGAAGGGGGGCACGGGGGGGTTCTGCCACGGGGGGACGGCAGGGCCGGTGCCACGGTCACTCGTGGGGGTGCGGGGAGCGTAGTGAGGGGGTGCCCTGCGCCGAGCTGGGCACGAGGGCACGCGGAAATGTGGAGGCATCCTCAAGGGGGGTGTGCGTGTGTGCAAACAAGGGGGGCTGTGAGTGTGTAAGGGGTGTGTCAGGGTGAGGGTGCGCGCAAAGGGGGCTGTGAGTGTGTGACGGGTGTATAACGAGGGGTGTGCAAGGACTGTGTGTATGAAGATGGGGGTGGTGTGTGTGTAAGGGCTGTGTATGTGTAAAGGTGAGCGTGCAAGGGGTGAGTGTACGTGTGTGTGTGCAAGGCAGCGTGTATGAAGTGTGTGGAGTGTGGGCAAGGTGGGTGCGTGCCCCTGTGAACGTCTGTGTGTGTGCCAGGCTGCGTGTGCAAGGGCTGTGTGTGCAAGCTGCATGTGTGCACCCGCACCTGTGTGCACGTCTGCCGTGCCTAAGGCGTGCACAGGTGTGTGGACACGGGGATTCGTGTGTTTGCACACAAATATAGACGGGTTTATGTGTCAGTGTATAACAGGTCTGCCTGAGTGTGCAAGGGTGCGTGTGTGTGTGCAAGGGCGTGTAAATCTGCGAGGAGGCTGTGTATGTGCAATATCTATGTGTGGCACGGAAAACGCGTGTGCAAAGGTTTGTGTGTGCGTGTGCAAGGGGATGTGCGTGAGCGTGCAGGGGTGTGCGCAAGGTGGTGGGTGCACGCCACGGGTGTGCAGGGGGCTTCGTGTGCGTGTGAACACACACGTGTGGGTGCAACACGCGTGTGCCAGGGCGTGCAGTGTGTGCCTGTGCAACGGGGGTACCGGGATGTGCGCGGGGCGGGTGTGCAAGGGGAAGGCACTGGGGTGCGTGTGCAAGTGACACGCTCGGGGGTGTTGTGCGGACACGGGGGGCCCCGCCGCGCGTGTCCCCGCCATGTCGGTGCGTGTGTCCGTGCGCGTGTGCGCAGCCCCCGGGGTGCGAGTCCGCCCCCGCCGCTCCGGGCCGTACCGGGCCGTTCCCGCCGCCGCCGCTGCGCCTTTAAGGCCGCCGGCCGGGAGCGCCCGGGAGCGGATCCGGGCGGGGGGGGGGGAGGGGGGGCGGGCACCGGCCGGGGCGGGCCGGGGCTGCGCGGCCGCGACCGGGACCGGGGCCGCCACCGCCACCGGGGGCCCGGCCTGGGCGCGAGATGGGGCGGCGGGAACGCGGCGCGGCCGCCGTGTAGGAGCGGGCGGCGGCGGGGCCGTGGCGGGGCGCGGGGCCCCGCGGCCGGCGGCGCCGGAGGCGGAGGTGAGCGGGGCCGCCCGGGCGAACCGGGAGCGGCGGGAGGTGTGTGGGGGGGGTGGATCGGGGCGGCGGCGGCGGCGTCGGGGACCGGGACCGGGACCGCGATCGGGACTGGGACTGGAACTGGGATCAAGGCGGTGGGGCGACACCGGGCTGGGCCCCCGGGCGGCGGCAGCGGTGCGGCCCCGGGGGGCTGCGCGGTGCTCGGCGGGGTCCGGTGCGGCGGCCGGAGGGAGCTGCCGGTGCTTGGGAGGGTCCGTCGCGGCGGCCGGAGGGCGCTGGTGGGTCCCGGTGTACGGGCCGTGCTCGGCGGGGCTCCCGTGCCCGGAGCGGGGAGGGAGGCGGCCGCCGCCACCAGGGCCGGCCCTTCCCGGTGGCCGTTCTTCACTGCCGCTCGCCCGGAGCAGAGAGCGGCTGCCACGTCCCGGCTCGTTCCCGGTGCCCCGGGGCGGCCGTGCCCGGTAAAACCCGTTGGCCGCTGTTCAAGACAAACAGGGCCGGGACGCCCGGGTCGGTCCCAGCTTTGTCGCAGGTCGCTGCACCGGGAAGGGCGGGCTCGGGGCGGCCTCCACAGGGCCACGCACCGGGCACCGGGACAACGGGAACCCGACACCGGGAACCCAGCGCTGTGCACGGGGATTCTGGCACCGGGCACCCAGAACCGGGACACTGGGGCACAGGGAACCCAGCACTGGCCATTCCCACAGCCGCCATGGGGGCAGTGGGAGAGCCGGGACTTGGGCTCTGCATCCCCCAGGGTAGCGGTGGGGACATCAGGACCCTCCGGTCTTTGCACGGCCTCGCACCCCCGCGGACACCGGGGCTCCCGTCGGGGTGTCAGGATGGGGGACCAAGCGCTGACTCCTCCTCGGTGCCCGCAGCATGTCGTGGTTCAGCGGCATCCTGGTGCCCAAGGTGGACGAGCGGAAGACGGCATGGGGGGAGCGCAACGGCAAGAAGGGCCCCCGGCCCCGAGCCGGCCTCTGCGGGCCCCGCTACATGAGCTGCCTGCAGGACCCTGAGATGGAGCGGGGTGCGGGACCCCCCCGGGGGCTGCGCTGCACTTGGCAGGAGGATCACTACGGCAAGAAGGGGCCCGCGGGCGACCTGGGACTCAAATCGGTGGACACGGGCTTGGAAGACGGCGAAGCCAAGGGGCCGAAGGGAGCCAGGGGACACGGGGGGCGGCCATCGGCCGGAGAGTGCTGGCGGCGGCTGCTCCAGGTTTTCCGTTCCAAACGCTTCCAGTCGGCCAAACTGGAGCGGCTTTACCAGCGCTACTTCTTCCAGATGAACCAGAGCAGCCTGACGGTGCTGATGGGAGTGCTGGTGCTGGTTTGTGGGGTGATGCTGCTCTTCCTCTGCCTGCCCGGTGCCCCCCACGTGCCGGCAGCCGCCGCGCTGGCCGGTGCCACAGCCCTGTTCCTGCTCCTCATGGTGCTGTGCAGTCGCAGCGCCTTCCCCCAGGACTATATGTGGGTGGTGAGCTATGTGGTGCTGGGGCTGCTGGCCGGGGTGCAGGCGCTGGGGACGGTGGCCGTGGCGCCCCGAAGCGCGGCCGAGGGCGTTTGGTGGAGCGTCTTTTTCATCTACATCACCTACACGCTGCTGCCCGTGCGGATGAGGGCGGCCGTGCTGGCCGGGGTCCTGCTCTCCGCCCTGCACCTCGCCATCGCCTGGCACCGCAACGCTGCCGACCCCTTCCTCTGGAAGCAGGTAGGGACACGCCTGGGAGGGTCCCACCCACCTGCAGGTGGGACCTCATGTCCCTGAATCCTGCTCTGCAAACTTGGGTTTTTTTTTTTTTCACTCGGATGTTTCTGCTGGTGGAAAGTTCTAGATGCAGGAGGGGCCCCCGGGGAGAGATCCCATGCTGGGGTCCCGTGGTGGGACAGGGTGGGCCCCTCATGCCGGCACAGACCCACCATTGTGGGCTGCACCGGGAGGAAGGGGCACCCACAAAGCCCCCGTTGTAGGGCTGGCGGAAACCCCCGAGGAGGGAAGCAAGTCCAGGGCACCAGGGCAGGGGAGTGGCTGTCACCCAGGGGGGCTGGGACACTGCCAGTGTCCCCTGTCCTGCCCCTTTGAGGTGGTGGGTGCTTCTAGCAGGATGCTGCTTGCACAGGGGGGTGCAGAGGGGTCCCCTATCCCTAGGGCCACATGTTCCCAGCCCCAGCAGCTCCCCCTCCTTGAGTGAGCAGAGCCACTCGTCAGCCTTCACCCTCGCCCTGCCTGGCCAGGGCCAGGGCCACGTGCAGTCCCCGCGGGGCACAGGGCGAGGAACACAATGACATCGGAGGCCAGCAGGGTCACGGGAAGGGCCGCTCCCCCGGGGGAGGGTTCACCCCTTCAGGGCAGGAGCGATGGGGCTCTGGGGGGATGCAGTGGGGCCAGGGAGGGGATGCGAGGCCTCTGTTCCCAGTGTCCCAGTGTGCTTGAGCACTATAAATAGCCCTGGCCCCGGTCCCGGGGGATGGGGTTGGGGGAAACCGCAGCTCCCTCCGCAGTCATCTCTGCTTTCTGACTTCCTCTGCTTCCCGAGGGCGTCCCCATGACCCCCGTGCTCCAGGACCCCATGTACCCCTGGCTCCTGTGTCCTCAGATCCCCCCGCTCTGGTTTTCTACATCCCACATCCCTACGTTCCCCCTGCCCTGGGTCTCCAGGTCCTCCACATTCACCCTATGCATGTCCCCTGTGTCCCCAAGTGCCCTCTGCTACCTTACCCTTTGTCCCCAAGCCTCTGTGATCCCCCTACCCTGTGTCCCCTTTGCCCCCCCACCCTGTGTCCCCTTGTCCCCTTTACCCCCCATTCTGTGTCCCCAGGTCCCTGCATCCCCTGTTCCCTGGTTTCTCACAGCCCCAAGTCCCCCATGTCCTTGCAGCCCCGTTGCCCTGTTTTCCCATGTCCTTTGGTGCCCCACATCCCCCTGACCTTGTCCCCTGCACCCTCCTTGCCCAGTGTCCCAGAACCTCCATGTCCCCCTGCCTTGAGCCCCCATGTTCCCATACCCACACCCCTCTCTTTGCAGCCCCCTCCTCCCCTTAGCAGCACCCACCATACCAAAGCCAAGCTTCTGTGCTGCAGAGGAGGGTGGCTGGGAGTCCCCGGGTGGTCACACTGAGCCCACCTTCCCCCCAGCTCGGCGCCAATGCCCTGATCTTCCTCTGCACCAATGTGGTGGGGGTCTGCACCCACTACCCGGCCGAGGTGTCGCAGCGCCAGGCCTTCCAGGAGACCCGCGGCTACATCCAGGCGCGCCTGCACCTCCAGCGGGAGAACCGCCAGCAGGTGGGATTGGGGGTCCCGGGGGTCCCCGTGCTGAGCTGGGGGTCCAGCAGCACCCTGGCCCTGCTGACGGGACTGCTCTGGCTGCAGGAGCGGCTGCTGCTGTCAGTGCTGCCACAGCATGTGGCCATGGAGATGAAGGAGGACATCAACACCAAGAAGGAGGACATGATGTTCCACAAGATCTACATCCAGAAGCATGACAACGTCAGGTACTGTGGGGACAGGGGTGTGGGCGAGTTTTGGGGGAGGCATCACTGGGGGAGGGTGTCTGGGGCAGCGTGTGGGCCATCTCCAGCCCGTGCTCTTCCTCCTGGCAGCATCCTCTTCGCGGACATTGAGGGCTTCACCAGCCTGGCCTCGCAGTGCACGGCCCAGGAGCTGGTGATGACTCTCAATGAGCTCTTCGCCCGCTTTGACAAGCTGGCTGCGGTGAGTGGAGGGGCTGGGGGACTTTGGGGGGTCCTGGAGCCCTCCTAATCGCTCGTGCCCCCCAGGAGAACCACTGCCTGCGCATCAAGATCCTGGGGGACTGCTACTACTGTGTGTCGGGGCTGCCGGAGGCACGCGGGGACCACGCTCACTGCTGTGTGGAGATGGGCGTGGACATGATCGAGGCCATCTCGTGAGTGGGGCAGAGCTGGGGGCTGTGCCTGTCCCCAGTGCCACCACAATTTGGGGGGCTGCTGGTGCTGGTGTGTCCCCAGTGTCATCATAATGTGGGGGGCCGTGCCCATCTCCCATGTCCCAGGTGTTACCACAACCCTGAGCGGCTGTGTCTGTTACTGGTGTGTCCCTGGTGCTGCTGTAACTTGGGAGGGCTTGCAATTTTGGCAAGTCCCAGGTGCCACCACAGCTTGGGGGACAGGTCCCGTTCCTGGTGCTGACACAGTCCGGTACTCGCCAGTCTGGGTCACAGTGCCTAGGGGTGCCATCGGGTGCTTGGGGGTGACATGGTGCCTCAGAGTGTCATGGGGTGCTTGAGGATGCCATAGAGTGCTTGGGGGTGCCAAGGGGTGCCTGGGTGTGCCATGCCTGTGAGTCCAGTGGTGTTTTGGGTTGCTGTGGGGTGCTGCAGTGCCTGGGAATCCTGAAAAGCCAGGGGCTGCTTGGGGATGCCTCAAAGCACCTGGGGGGGCCACGGAGTGCCCAAGGGTGACATGGCACCGGTCCCATCCACAGGCTGGTGCGTGAGGTGACGGGGGTGAACGTGAACATGCGTGTGGGCATCCACAGCGGGCGGGTTCACTGCGGCGTCCTAGGACTGCGCAAGTGGCAGTTCGATGTCTGGTCCAACGATGTCACCCTTGCCAACCACATGGAAGCGGGCGGCAAAGCTGGGTGAGCCTGGATGGGGGGGCTGGGCTGGGGTCTGGGGTGGGAGGTGCTGGACAGGGCTCAGCACCTTCATCCCCCCCATCCCCAGGCGCATCCACATCACCTGGGCAACGCTGCAGTACCTGAACGGGGACTATGAGGTGGAGCCGGGCCACGGGGGCGAGCGCAACGCCTACCTCAAGGAGCACAACATCGAGACCTTCCTCATTGTCGGCTGCAGCCAGAAGCGCGTGAGTTGGGGGTCATCTGAGAGGCAGCAGGGGCGTGGGAAAGCTGGGGTCACCCCCTCATGGCCGTGTCACCCTGCAGAAGGAGGAGAAAGCCATCCTGGCCAAGCTGCAGCGCACTCGCGCCAACTCCACCGAGGGGCTGGTGCCACGCTGGGTGCCCGAGCGCTCCTTCTCCCGCACCAAGGACTCCAAGGCCTTCAGGCAGATGGTGAGCAGCCCTGGGGAGGGAATCGGGCACGGGGGACCCTCACCACAGTGCTATCAGCCACTCGCTGCCCTTCCGTGGCTGTCAGTAGCTTCCCCAGCCCTGCTCGCAGCCCTCGTGGCTTCCTCTGCTGCCTGCAGGCCCCAGGGAGTTCCTGCGTGGCCCCTGGTGCTCAGCAGACCTTGGAGATCCTCCTCGTTCTCACCAGCCCTGGGCACCCTCAGGGGTCTCCTCTCCTCACTGGTGTTAGACATTCCCCCTAGACCCCTCCCTCCCTCCTTTGCAGACCCCTGGGACCCTCTTGTCCTTGCCAAAAACCCTTGGGGACTTCTCCTGCCCCATTTACCCCTGGAACTTTGTCCCCCATCCTGGGTGACCCTGGGGGGTGCCCCATATCCTTGTCACTCATGAGGGTTGCCCCCATCTGTGTCAGTGTCTCTGACATCTCTCCATTGTGTCTCCCAGGGCATCGATGACTCCAGCAAGGACAAGTAAGTGCTGGGCTGCTGGGGCGGGGGTCGTGACCAGCCTCTCCCTGGGGCAGAGCTGGGAGCCTGGGAGGGTCCTGACCCCCCATTCCCCAGCCGTGGTGCCCAGGAGGCCCTCAACCCTGAGGACGAGGTGGATGAGTTCCTGAGCCGGGCCATTGACGCCCGCAGCATCGACCAGCTCCGCAAGGACCACGTCAAGAAGTTCCTGCTCACCTTCCAGACCCCTGAGCTGGAGAAGAAGGTCGGGGGACCCTCTGCTCCCTTTGTTCTGGACCCATCATTCTGTCTGTCTTTTGAAGTCCCCTCTGCCCTGGCCCCGTCAGCATCTTTGTCCTCCCATCCCCTGGGGTCTTCTCTGTGCTGGTTTCATGGTCCCTCCGCCTTCTCAACCTCATCCCCTCTATTCCATCCCCTGGGGTCCCCCCTGTCCCCTCCCATCCCCTGGGGTCCTCTCATCCCCCACCATTCCATCTTCTGGGGTCCCCCTGTCCCCTCCTATCCCCTGGGATCCCCTCCCTACATCCTATTCCCTGCATCCCTGGAGTCTCCCTCATCCCATGCCCCAGGGTGTTCCTGTCCCCCTTTTCCCCACCCTCTGGGGTCCCCTCCTTTCCTTCCATCTCATTTCTTGCATCCCCTGGGGTTCCCTGTTCCCCTCTAACCCACCCTTTGGGGTTGCCCCTGTCCCCTACATCCCATCCTCTGGGATGTCCCCAGTGCCCCTTCATCTGCATCCCTTTGGGTCCTCCCATTTCCCTCCCTCCCCAGGTTCTCCCTGTTTGTCTCCACCCCTTTCACTGGTGTCCCCTCAGTTCTGCTTCCATTCTTCCCTTCGGATCCCCCTGAGGCTCCTGGGGTCCCCCCTCTATCCATCCAACCATCCCACCTCCCCGTCTCCTCAGTACTCCAAGAAGGTCGATGACCGTTTTGGTGGCTACGTGGCCTGTACCCTCCTCGTCTTCTGCTTCATCTGCTGCCTCCAGATCCTGGTGTTCCCCCAGTAAGTGCTGCAGCCCCCCCCCCCAAATACCAGCTCTAATCCCCCAACCCCATCAGTCACCTCCCACCTCTCCCCAGCTCCTCGCTGATGCTCGGGGTCTATGTCAGCATCTTCATCCTCCTTGCTGCCATCCTCTTCATCTGTGCCATCTACTCCTGCGTCACTGTGAGTACCTGAGGGCTGGGAGGGTTTTTGGGGGGCTTGGCCATGCCTGACAAGCTCCTTGGTGCCCCCCAGCTCTTCCCCACCGCCCTGCAGCAGCTCTCCCGCAGCATCGTCCAGTCCCGCGCCCGCAGCACCGGCATCGCCGTCTTCACCATTCTCCTCGTCTTCATCGCTGCCTTTGTCAACATGGTAGGGCCATGGGGGCTTGGGGGGTTTTGGGGGGCTGCGGGGAGCTGCAGGGCACCGCCTCACCCCTCTGGCCCCCCAGTTCTCCTGCAGCCGCGTGGCCCTGCGGGACTGCGCTGCCCGCGAGCTCAACGTCACCCCCGGCTCTGTGGGGCCCTGCCAGCTCCGCGCCCTCAACTTCTCCCTGGGCACCCCTGCAGGCTCCTGCCACGGTGACGGGCTGGCCTGTGACTTCCCCGAGGTGAGCGGCCGCGGGCACAGCCTGGCGCGAGGCACGGCATCGGGCTCCCACAGGGGTCCCTGCTGCTGCCAAGTCCTCCCTGGGTGCTGGCAGAGGGGTCCCATGGGTGTAGCGTCCCCAGGAATGCTGGCACGGATCTCTGTAGGATTGTCCCCAAGGCTGCTGGCACAGGGTCCCCATGGGTGTAGTGTCCCCAGGAATGCTGGCATGGATCTCTGTAGGATTGTGTCCCCAAGGGTGCTGGCACAGGGTCCCCATGGGTGCAGTGTCCCTAAACACGCTGGCACAGGGTCCTTGAGGACCCAGGGTGCTGGAATGGGGTCCCTGCAGGCACTGTGTCCCTAAGGATGCTGGCACAGGGTCCCAGAGGGTCCAGTGTCCCCCAGAGTGCTGGCACTGAGTCTCCATGGGTGCAGGGTGCCAGCACAGGGTCCCCACACACACGGGGTGCTGGAACAGGTCGCTCGGGTCCAAGGTCCTCAGTGGGCGCTGGCACTGAGCCCTCGAGGTTACTGGGTGCTGGCACAGTGTCCCCAGGGGTGCAAGGTCCCTGTGGGCGTGGGGTGCTGCAGGAGTTCCAGGGGTGCTTCAGGGTTCCCAAGGGTGCCATCCAGTCTTGCCAAGGTGCTGCAGGGTGTTCCTGGAATGCTTTCCGGGGTCCCTGGGGTGCTGCAGGAGTTCCTGGGCCCGAACCGGTGTTCCCAAGGTGCCATTCAGGGTTCCTGGGGTGCCATCCGGGGTTCTGGGGGTGATTCAGGAGTCCTGTGGTGCCAGCTGGTGTTCCCAGGATTCCCAGGGGTGCCATGTGGGGTTCCCAGTCTGCTGCAGTTCCCATGGGTGCTGTCCAGGGTTGTCCAGGAGTTCCATCCTGGGGTTCCTGGGGTGCCATCTGGGGCTTCCAGGGTGCTGCAGAGGTTACTGGGGTGCCACCAGGGACTTCCAGGAGTGCCTGCCAGTATTCTCAGTGCTGCCAGTATTACCAGGAGTTCCCAGAGTGCCATCCAGCATTCCAGGGGTACCATCCAGGGTTCCCAGGGTGCTACAGGGGTTCCTGGAATGACAGTCCTGGTTCCTGGGGTGCCATCTGGGGTTCCCAGGGTGCTGCAAAGATCCCAGGGGTGCCATCTGGTGTTCCTGGGTACCATCTGGTGTTCCTGGGGTGCCTCTGCACCCCACCATGTGCCCCCCAGTACTTCAGCTACAGCGTGGTGCTGAGCCTGCTCGCCTGCTCCGTCTTCCTGCACATCAGTAGCATCGGGAAGCTGCTGCTCATGGTGGGCATCGAGGCCACGTTCCTGCTGCTGGTGGAGGGGCCTCACGCAGCCCTCTTTGACAATGCTGACCTGCTGGTCCTGGCCAATGCCCTGTGAGTGCCCTCAGTCGCCCCAGGGGTCCCCCCCTCGGAGCTGTGTCCCCACCCCACTGACCCCTGGCTCCTGTCCCCACAGGCCCCCCTTCAACATCACCCAGGGAGAGTGGTGAGTGGAAAAATGGAGCCTGTGGGGACCTGAGTGTGGGGGTGTGAGGGTGGGCAGAAGCAGGAGGGTCCCTTGGGGGTGGGTACAGCCTGAGGGTCTCTGATGTGAGTTCAGCTTTGGGATCTGGGTGCAAATTTGGGGATCCTTTGGGTGGGTGAGTGGATCTTTGGGGTCTGCCGTGCAGATTTAAAGTCCCTGGGATAAGGAAATGAATGTTGGGGGTCTGGATGCAGGTTTGGGGTCCCTGAAGGGGGTGAGTGCATCTTGGGGTCTGGGTCGGTTTTTGGGGTTTGAGTGTAGGTTTTGGGTCTCTTGGATGAGTGGGTGAATCTTTGGGGTTGGGTGCACGTTTGAGGATCCCCTGGGTGGGTGAATGGAAATTTTGGGGTCTGAGTGCAGATTTGGTGTCCATGGAATGGGTGGATCTTTGGGGTCTGGGTGGTGTTTGGGATCTCTGGGTGGGCAGGGACGGGTCCTTCAGCCCACCTCAGGGGTCCTGGGGGTCCTGCAGCCTGGCAGAGGGGAAGGTGGCCCTGCGCTACGTGACCCCCGTGGTCCTGGCCGTGTTTGCGCTCGCCCTGTACCTGCATGCGCAGCAGGTCGAGTCCACCGCCCGCCTCGACTTCCTTTGGAAGCTCCAGGTATGACCAAGTTGTGGTGGGCTGGGAACGACCCTCTTCCTGCCTCCTGAGACTGGGACTGACCCCCTCCCTGCACCCCAGGACTGGGGTGATAATGGGCCTTCCCATACTCAGACAAGATTGACTCCCCTCCCTGAACCGTTGTGGTTCTGGGACTGATCCTACTCCCTGGGATTGGGGTGACCATGGGATGGGAACTGTCTCTTCCCCTACTCCCTGGGATTAGGATGGCTGTGGGGCTGGAACCAACCCCTTCCTTCCATCCTGAGACCAAAACTGACCCTTCCCTGCCCCCCAGAACTGGGGCAGTCATGGGACAGGGACCAGTCCAGGGCCAGGACCAACCCCGTCCCCACACCCTGACTTGAAGGTGGCCACAGGGCTGGGAGCAACCCTTTCCTTGCATGCCAGCACTGGGGTGACCATGGGGCTGGGACCAACCCCCACCCCACACTGTGCTGCTGGGGCAGCTGTGGGGTCCTGTGGCAGCTCCCAGCTGGGTGTGTGCCCACAGGCAACGGGTGAGAAAGAGGAGATGGAGGAGCTCCAGGCCTACAACCGGCGGCTGCTGCACAACATCCTGCCCAAGGACGTGGCCGCGCACTTTCTGGCACGGGAGCGGCGCAACGACGAACTCTACTACCAGTCCTGCGAGTGCGTGGCCGTCATGTTCGCCTCCATCAGCAACTTCTCTGAGTTCTATGTGGAGCTGGAAGCCAACAACGAGGGTGTGGAGTGTCTGCGGCTGCTCAACGAGATCATCGCCGACTTCGATGAGGTGCTGGGGCAGAGAAGGGGCAAGGGGGTGCATAGGGGTGAAGTGCACAGGGGTGGGGTGCAGTGGGCAGGGTTCGTGTGGTGCTGGAGAGGCTGTGGGGCAGCAGGGATGAGGCTGTGGTCCAGGGAATGTGGTCACAGGGTGCTGGAAAGGCAGTGGAGCAGTGGGGATGAGGTACAGGATGTATGTCATCCTTGGAGAAGGCATGGAGCAGCTTTCATGGAGCCACAGGAATGGATGCAGAGGCTGTAGAGCACTGTGGATAGAGTGCACAAGGATGAAGTACAGGAAGATGGGGTGTTGGAGAGGCTGTGCAACAGCAGATTTGGGGAAAGGGTGCAGGAGATGGAGTGCATGGGGTGCAGGAGAGGCTGTGGAGCACCATGAATGAGGTGCAGATGGGATGCACAAGATATAGAGAGCCTGCAGAGCACCATATTTGGACAGGGCGCAGGAGATGGTGTGCAGGGGGTGCTGGAGGGGCTGTGGAGCACCATGGAGGAGGCAGGGGATGTCATGGGGTGCTGGAGAGGCTGTGGAGCAGCATTTGTGGAGCCGCAGTGCAGGGTGCAGGAGGTGCTGGAAAACCCATGGAACAGCATTCACGGAGCCATGGGACGGGGTTGGGGTACCCTGTTGAGGTGCTGCGGGGGTGAGCCCAGCCTGTCCTCCCAGATCATCAGCGAGCAGAAGTACCGGCAGCTGGAGAAGATCAAGACCATTGGCAGCACCTACATGGCGGCATCGGGGCTCAACGCGGCCACCTACGACCGCGAGGGCCGGAGCCACATCGCGGCACTGGCCGACTACGCCATGCACCTCATGGAGCAGATGAAGTACATCAACGAGCACTCCTTCAACAACTTCCAGATGAAGATTGGTGAGCCCTTGCACACCCCTTGCACACGCCCCTCTGCACCTCCAGCCATCCCACACTGTTGTTCATGGCTTTGTGCTGGCGGCTCTTGCACCCCTTTTTTCCTCTCTCCCAATCACCTCTTCTTTTTCTCTTTCATACCCCATTTTCCTCTCTCACACCCCTTTTCTTTTTGCACCCCCTTTTCTCCCCTCCTGTCCTTTTTCCCCTCTTGTACCCCCTGTTCCCTCCCTCACCCCATCTTCCCCTCTCACCTGCCCTTTCCCCTCACCCCTCCTTCCAATCTCTCCCTCCTTTTCCAATTTCACCCACCACCCCTTCTTTTGCCCCCCTCACCTCTCTTTCACCCTTTTCCCCTCTCATCTCCCCTTTCCCCATCACCTCCTCTTTTCCCCCTCCACATTCCTCTTTTCCATGTCACTCTCTCCTTTTCCAAACTCACCCCCTCACTCCTCTTTTCCCCTTCCCTCTTCCCCAAGTGTGGGGGGTTCATCCCTGACTCTCAACCATGTACCCCCAGGCCTGAACATGGGCCCAGTGGTCGCAGGGGTCATCGGGGCTCGCAAGCCCCAGTACGACATTTGGGGCAACACCGTCAACGTCTCGAGCCGCATGGACAGCACTGGGGTCCCCGACCGCATCCAGGTGAGTCAGGGGTGGGAGGGACACAGGACACCTGCCCAGAGACCCCCCCTCCAGGTCTCCCCCTTTACCCCTGTGTCCCCCCTCCAGGTGACAACAGACTTGTACCAGGTGCTGGCTGCCAAGGGCTACGTGTTGGAGTGCCGGGGGCTGGTCAAGGTCAAGGGCAAGGGGGAGATGACCACCTACTTCCTCAATGCGGGCCCTGGGGGTAGTTAGGGGGGTCCCCATGGTGTCCCCCCCATGCCGGGGACACCCCCAGCCTGTGCCGAGCTCAGGCGAAAAAAAAAGGAAAAATCCCCAAATACACATATTTAAAAAAAAAAAGGGAGAAATGGACACAAGGAGGTGGTTGGGGGGCGTGGGGAAGTAACCCTGTGCCCCCCTCTGTGGCTGTTTTAGGGGGTGTTTCCCAGCCCTGCACCGGGGTGTTTTTTGTGGGTGGGGGTCACGGTAACCCCCATCCCTTTGCAGAAACCCCACATGTGCCAAAGAGGGGAGATGGGGCCCCCCAGAAAAGGGACTGCGGGGGTTTTGGGGGCAGGGGGTGCCCAGCCCCCTCCATGTGCCAAATTGAAGTGCCGCCTGCGGGGGTGGGGAGGCGCAGGCCCAGCATCTCCGCAGCCCCCTCACCCCCCGGGGGTCCCAGCTCCCTCCGGGGGGA